CATTCTTTGGTTGCAATCCTACATCATAGGTGTCAACTCTTTGTACCTAAGATCAACCTAATCCAAAAACTTTATCTTGCATCATTCCTTCAACTTACTAGTTCTTTCACATTTTTCAGCCCCCTTTTTTAGCACTTTCAAAAAACAATTTCAACAGCATTTTCTTCATTTTACTGGCCCCTCCAAAGATCATTTTGGCTCTTTTCATCAGATTTGATTTCCCTTTGATTTGAAGAGAAGCGGTTCACAATTGAAGTTACCGGATTTTTAATAAGTATACCGGCATTACACATAACTCACTGGCTTTCCTTCATGCATACCGGATTTACATTGCTCATACCGTGTTGGAAGTTATAAATCAAAGAGTGGAACTTACCGGATTTGATATAAACTAACCGGTTTTAACACTCCTCGCCGTATATACACTCAACTTACCGGATATACACTTGGCTTACCGTATATGCAAAGCACTTACCGGATTCGTAATGATTTTATTGGTTTTGGAAGAACAACAGGGCACTTACCATATTGCATTCAACGCACCGTATTTGCATAATACTCACCGGATTTGCCCAAAAACTCTCTGTTTCTCTCCTTTTTTCAGCTTGTTTTTAACCATTTTTCCAACTGATTTCTTCCACCTTTTTTTATGCTAAGGATTATTTTTTCAGCCCTAAATCCTTGCAAAAACACCCAGATTCAACCCATTTCATCATCATTTTTCACCAGATTTACTCTGTATTTTTAGCTTCGGCATTAGATTTTTTTGGAACTGGTTCACTCCTTTTTCTTAGCCACTTTCAACACCATCTAAGACATTCATTTCCTAGGGCTGCTGCTGATCTTTGAACTACCAGATTTAACTTTCATCAGCTTCATTTTCAGCATCATTTTTTGCACCGATCTTCTTTTTTTTTCTTCATCAGACAGCTTCATCTTTTTTTTTTTCAGCATAACAACTTCCTTTTTTTTTTTCAACATCACAAGTATGAAGAATAGAGAAGGAAGACGCTTTGAGACTTAGCATACCAACTTTGTAATTTCTTACCATATTTCACACTTGTTTTTACCAGTTTTGCGCGTTGTCTTTCAACTGGATTCACCTTTCTTTTCTAGCTTTTTACTGGATTTTTGCTTTTGTTTCCTTTTGCTCTTCTTCACTTTTGTTCTTTTTTTTTTTTCCAACTTCAGATTTTCATCTTATCAAATAGCTTTCTCTTTTTCATTTTCTGCATCTTGGCCCCTTCTAAGATCCTTTGAAAGCTCTGATACCATGTTGAGATTTCATTGATCTAAAGCTCTTTTTCAGAGAGCTCTTATCATTTTGTATGGAGGAGAATGGATACCGGTTATTTAAATAAACATATATACTCTGCTGTTCTTTCTGAACATGCCAGAGGAGAAGGAGAATTCTTTTGGAACTACATCTTCTTTAAACGTTTTTCTTCTATATTTCCTTCATAGATTGTTCATACAACTTGGCTCTATTTATAGTCAATCTTTGATAGATATTTACTAGATATTTCTACCATTTGACAATCCACTTGCTTGTAGTAGCTCACAACTAGCCTATCTTTCTATCATTACATAGTTAGACTTTAACCAAACTAAGTAACTAAATATTCAACCAAGAATACAATTAAAAAAAGTGACAACAAAATGTCACCATTCAAACAATTTTTCTATTTCCATACCTTGTTAAACCACCCCATGTAAAACTCGATTCAGTATTTATCATTCAGTATATGGGTCGAACTCAAGGTCTTTTATATGCTCTGGCACTATGTTAAACTATTTCAATTAAAAGTTCAAGCCGATCAAAAGAAACAAAGTTACTCGTTTAAATTTTGTCTTCAATCCCCCAAAGTAATCCATAGGTAATCTCTTGTATAACAGGTCATCATCACTGCAATTCAAAACCGAAATTTGAGCTTGCCTGAGAATCCCGACAAGTTATATGAGATTGACGAAAAAGAAAGAGATCTGTCTGAAGAAAAACTTTCACATACCAATCAATTCAGGCACTCCAGCACAATCTTGAATCAACTGCATTTTGTTATATTCTCCTAACATCATGTGCCTATTTTGCTGTTTTTCCTGTGGTATTCCTTAACCATTACATCCTATTACTAACTACATTTGTTTAAAACTAGGTTTCTCAACAAAGCAGCTATCCTTAAGGACGGGACCAACCCTGAGCCCTGGAAAATTTGCACGATAACACAAGTCGAAGAAGTCAAGATTCTTATAAGGATGATGCCAATCCTTACCAGTACGATTATAATGAAAACATGTTTAGCACAACTGCACACATTTTCAGTACGAGGATACTTCATGAATCCTTACTTAGGCTCTTTGAAGATTCCCACAGCTTCAATACCTGTGATTCCACTGATCTTTATGTCCATTCTCCTTCCATTATACGAGTTTTTGGTAGTTACATTCGCTAGAAAATTCACCGGACTTCCTACAGGAATCACACAACTTCAAAGAGTAGGCACTGGACGTGTACTTTCCATTCTCCAATGGGAATAGCTGGTCTAATCGAGATAAAAAGAAGGGATGCAGCACTTGAGAATCCAGCCGAGCCCATTAGTCTTTTCTGGCTTTCTTTCCAATATGGGGTTTTCGGGATTGCAGATATGTTTGCTATGGTTGGACTGATGGAGTTTTTCTACAAAGAAGCGCCCTCCGGGATGAGGTCTTTTTCTACTTCTTTCTCATTATTATCCCTTTCTTTCGGGTACTTCTTGAGCACGACCTTTGTTAATATCATAAACGCCGTGACTGAAAAGGTTACCCCGAGTAAACAAGGTTGGCTGCAGGCACTAGATTTGGAACACAAGAAGTTGGATTTGTTTTACTGGTTCCTAGGCATCCTAAGTTGTCTGAACTTTGCAAACTATCTATTTTGGGCATCATGGTACAAGTATAGATCGGAAGGTAAGGATACCGAAGATGAAGTCCCCGGTTGGGAGGGATCGCCTACTCACAATACGCGAAAATAATAATGAAACCTGTTGAAATATCAATCGGCAAAATTTCTCCAGCAACAAGGGCAGATGCTGCATTATGCACTACTACTACATATTGGAGTTCTGTTGAGTGTTTTCATTCCTTCCTCCCCACCGCCCCACCCCACCCTCCTGGTGTTAACTTGTAATAACAAGCCCTGTATTATTGGATTACCTGTAGTTTTTGAATCTGTAAAATGTGTGGTTATACAAAGATAATTTTGTCTGAATCATTGAATATCTGATAATATTGTGTGGGAAATAAACTAAAGAATGTTATTTTTTTGTCATAATCATGGAACTAGAATCTGAACGTACCGTGAAACACTTCAAGAAATTTTTGATCAAGATGACAATGAGAACCTAGCAATTACTTATTTTTCAGGTTGAAACTAAATACTACACGGATTAAAAATTGTCCATGTACATTTAGAGTCGACTATGTAAAGTTCTTTTTGGGCACCCTGTTCAGTTTATTGTTTCCTTGGTATCTTTCCAGTTGAAACCAATATGGAGAGCACAAGTCGGTGCTAGCCCAAAATCAAAATGATGAGAATCAAAGTAACCTCAAACAATTTTAGCACATTTGGTTATGTTAAAAAGCTACTTCTCTAAAAAAAAAAAAGGTTACTTTACCATAAAACCGAGTCATCCCTATATTCTATAAATTACTTTTGCCCAAAAGAAGAATTTTAAGTAAACAATACTAACATGTATAATATTAAGAAATGAATTATGTTGTTTATACAGTCCACTATTTTGTAAAATTTACTTCGAACACTTATTGGATTAAAATCATTCATTATTCAATTTATTACATTGTGTCAAACGCACGCTTAAACATAAAATAATGCTATCCTTAAAATACTAAGAAAATTGTTGAGGTTCTCTATGTGTGACTACATTTTCTCGGGCACTGAACCAGAAAAACTCGTGTTGAAGACCGAGTTCTGCACAAACAAATTGCACGTTGTTTTTATTAGTGAGATTGCTGGAGAGAAAAATCCCAAGAAAAAAAAAATAAACAAAATAAACAAAGAATGAAGAACCAGAACCTGTATAACATTTTTAAGCAGTCCACACCAGAAAGTGAGTCTCATTTTCTTCACTATAGAGAAGTAAAGTACTACTTTTTTTCTTGCATGTCATCTTCAGTTTTCCAAACTACGTCCTCGAGGCTCGTTGAAAGGTTTTTATAGAACTGCATAACAGAAATACCGATAATAAAAGTAAAGAAAAAGGATATCAGCAAAAGTTGCAATTACCAATCAGAGAGAGTGGCATTTTCTAGAAGTTGGTATTTGTGGATGATGAAAGAATACTATATTAAAATCGAGGAATTTTTATATCACGATGTGCACCATAAACAAGATATCAGTGCATTGCAATTTGCAAGTCTGTAAACCAGAAGAAAGACCAGATACTCAACTAAAGCACCCCGCATCCCACACGCACATGAGCATGTCTTCTCCAGGTTCCTAAAACTTGGACATCTTTGTTGATGTTTTGAATCGTTGCTCTACTCAAGCTAGTTTTTTCCCTAGATCGCACCTCAGAAGAATGCCATCAATCTCCACACCAGCAGCCATGGTAAGAGTGGGCGACAAATAGTTCATTAACAATATCTTGATTTTGCAAAGCAGACTCACTTAAGCCGAACTTTCTTATTTAAATCCTTCTAGTCACGATCCGGTAATCCTCCAATTTTTTAGTCTCATTGGATCAAAATTGATCATAACGATCCACAATTTACTCTACATTTAGGACATTTCTCTAGTAGGAAGTGGCACTCTGTGGAAGAGATGCTTATAGAAGGAAAGCTTTAGTTAAGACAATCGCTCAGCAGGGAAATATATCGGAACCCTGTTTCTTTTCCTAGCTCAATCAGTTCTAAACTTCTGCTCAATGCAAACTCGTGTTCTCCTTTCATTTAAATTTCTAAATCATAACACCTAAAAATTTATCCCCTTACCCAACTGATTAGATTGCTCAATGGCGAACTGCCAACGGCCCCTCTACCTCGTGTCTTCTACAAAGGGAAATAAATTAAAGAGAAGATGCACCAGAATATTAGGCTAGCGTGCCACATATTTTTTAGCATCTCCATATTCACACAAAATGACATTTCATGATAAAATTTATCCAATAGCTAAATGGTAAAACAAAATCGTGGCAAACTCTTATACCTTGTGGAACTCTAGCGTGTCTCCCTTTGCCTTTCTAACCTCAACCATATGCAGAGAAGGCGCAACCTGGAAAACCTGATAAAGAACATCGCACCATACGCATTGTTGCAAATCTTGGACCTAAAATTGAACTCAAAAAAACGAGATGATTGGCATTCATGGTAACATACCTCAGTGGCAATATTTAGGTTTCCTTTTCTTCCAGCTTTCACATTTTCTAGCCTCATCTGGGATAAATTAGCGTGGAGACAAGGTTTTTTTCTTAGTTATATTACAATACCACTTTCGATCCTCACTGAGGTAGATAAGATTGCACTATCTATTTGTACAAAGACATTTTACGAGCCTCAAGAAAATTGAATACCTTGTAGTTCTTCTTTTGAACATCAAAACCAAGAGGCTTAGCAGCTTCTTCAATCTTATTAATTATCTCGTTTGCTGGGCATCTAGATGAGAACCTTGTTTCCCTCTTGAATTCCTTTATCCAAATGGAGTTGTAAACAACAGATAATTAAGGGAAAAAGTACACGTGTTTTATTGTACATGCATGTAAAATTCCCTAAACTAGATAGTAAATTTTTATCTTCTTATCGAGGGCTATTAACTTACTTATTTCCACTTGACCAATAAAACATTAATTCATTTCACTTAGTTACTTATCAGTAAACTTTTTAAGCTGGGCCAAACATCCTCTTATTAATTCTACACATATGCCTTAGACTTAGGTCATCCAATTCTCGAATATGCCAATGTGCCATTGTAATTGCAAACTATTTATTATTTAAGTTATAGGAGACCTTTTATTTTCTGTTCTTCACATTATCCAACAAATTCTAATGATTATAAACTCTTTCGAACAGGTATTGTCAGAAAATTAATATAGTGTTAGAGCTTCTGTTCGAGAAGTATCCTAACATCATCACATCTTATTTTCACCTTTTATCTTTTGAGTATGCATTGTGATTTATAATTCTCTTTCTACCATTTTGCATGTTATCCAATCTGTTCATGTACGGGTGAATAATGTACCTCCTGAACTGGTCAGTTACCTCTTTACTTAATGGACAATTGGTTTCAAATAAGATGAAAAACAAACTCCAAGCCTGGAAAGTCGATAAAAAAAGGAAGTTCCTACCTGTTCTCCATCAAACAGATTCCCAAGGTTGAGACCTTTTGACATTGAAATCAACTCAAATGCATTCATTGCTGTTGGCTGCTCTTCCTTCTTCTCTGTGACAAGATGTTCCTGTCATACACAACAGAATATGCATTCAATAGACCATTTTATGAATAAAATCTAGTTGTGCCCCGGCTGTCATTGAATGTTCCGCATCAACTCACCCCAGAATCTTTAAATACAGCTTCAACATCATCCAAGTTTGTATCGTAATTTTCATCAAATACTGGTGGTTTATAATCTTTCTTAAACCACTCGTCCTCCAAAATTTCAGGGATTATGATCCGCTGCACAATGCTCAAGTCATGAAAAGAGGGGGGTAAAGGCAAGAAGATACAGCAATGAAGAAGAAGAAACAAATAGATAACACGTGTTGAAGGCGCAAATAAATTGATGACTTCTTGAGTGCAAAACCCCATTCTAAACTACCCATTCGTACTTCCTACTGCATATATTGTAAGGGAAAAGGCATCAGTTTTTGTTTTTATTGCACTGTCTACACTCTGCAGTAGAAATAGGCACCAGCAAAGGATTCAAAAAAGTCCTCTTACTTATTTTACTTCAGTAAGCTTACTCAAAAGAAATTTTTTTAAGCTAAGCCGATCATGCTCTATATGTCACTCTTTAGATTCTCTAATTACAGAATTACGTGCATGAGTTACATATCAGAGAGCTCATCTCCCAAAAAAATGAAAAAGAAAAAGAAAAAATCATTATGCTTACGGTCATAGGATTTGGATCCAAGATTCGAGCAATCAATTTCCTTGCACTGAAGGAAAGCCAAGGTGGACAAGTGAATTCGGCTAAAGAAATCTGGACAAGCGACAAAAGAAATGATGAAACGGAGATGATAGAGAAAACTGTGTAAACATTGGAAATAAAATTCCGAACGCTCACTTTTTTATACAGATTCATAAGGTTGGGATCGTCAAAAGGCAAGTAACCGGCAAGCAATACAAAGAGTATGACTCCACATGACCACAAATCTGCAGTTGCTCCATCATAGCCTAGATCATTTAGGACCTATGCAGAAAGATAATTAATTGTTCAGGCCTAAAAGTACTAGGAAAAGGTGCATATATACAAGGTATAGGGTTGTACCTCAGGAGCAACATAGTTTGGAGTTCCACAAGTAGTATGGAGCAAACCATCATCCTGCCATAATCCATTATGTAAATATTCCATTTTGATTGCACCAAATGAAGAAAAAAGAGAGAGAGATGTCGAGCATTAAAAAAATCTTGCTATTTTAACTAAAATTTATCCAAAGTATGCATTCAATGAAAGAGTGGCATGCATTGTCCTATGCAGCCTTCAAAATTCTGTAATCTCAAAGCCACATGATTTTGTCACTTACGAAAATAAGAAAATAGTTTTTATTGCCTTCTTTGCTTATCAGATACTTACATTAAACCACTCTTATGACGAAACATTCTAAAGCTATTGAATAAAATAAACAAAGTGAAAGAAGATCGACAGAGGTAAGAGAATATAACATCATATTCACCCTGATTTGCCTGGACAGAGCACTCAATCCAAAATCAGAAACTTTGAGGTTTCCAGAAGCATCCAACAACAAGTTCTCTGGCTGCACCATTAAACACATATGGGGATAAAGAGTAAGATTAGAT